GACTGCCACTTGAGGAGCGCCCCCTCAGCTCACAACAGCCCTAGCAGTCCGGGGGGAGCCTCGGCTTTCTTGCCTCGCTGCCGGGCGATCCTCTTCTCAAAGGGGCCGGGCCCTTGAGCCTCGCCTAGCCCCTCTCGTTCCTGCTCCACCTGGCCACCGGGTGCGCGAGCAGAGCCGGCGCTCAATCGTTCTCCGCGTTCAATCCCTTCCCCATGACCGGCTCCCTTTCCTGATCCCCCGGTGCTCCACCCGCCTCCTCTCCTCTCCCCAATCCGCAGGTGGGCCAAGGGGCGGAGCCGCCATGCCTGGCCTGCTTCGGGTCTGGAGGCATGTCTGAAGACCCCAGCGTGCGCACCAAAAGTCGCCTCTTCTCCTGACTTTCTCTTCAGCCATTGGGATCAAGAGAGAGAGAGAGAGAGACCCTCTGGCTGGAGGTATCTCCCACCTCCGCTCCCTCCTTTGTTTTTGCGCCTACCTTCAGGAAAGGTGGGCATCTCCACCTCTCTCTCTCTCTCGCTCTCTCTCTCTCGGTCCCAATGGCTGAGGAGAAAGTCAGGAGAAGAGGTGACTTTTGGTGCACACGCCAGGGTCTTCAGGCACGCCTCCGGACCCAAAGCGGGCCAGGCAAGGGAGCAAGGCAAGTGTAGTTACTGGGATGTATAGTTCACCTACAATCAAAGAGCATTCTGAACTCCACCAATGATGGAATTGAACCAAATATGGCACACAGAACTCCCACGACGAACAGAAAATATATATCAATGATTGGTTGGGGGGGGGGCGCCAAAATACTGTTTGCTTACCGTTGAAAATTACCTAGGGCCGCCTCTGGTAAAGGTAAAGGTTTCCTCTTGCCATTAAGTCTAGTTGTGTCCGATTCTGTGGAGTGGTGGTCATCTCAATTTCTAAGCCGAAGAGCCAGCATTGACCATAGATGCCTCCAAGGTCATGTGGCCAGCATGACTGCATGGAGCGCCGTTACTTTTCCAACGAAGCGGTACCTATTGATGTACTCACATTTGCATGTTTTCAAACTGCTAATTTGGCAGAAGCTGGGCCTAACTGTGGGAGCTCACTCCACTTCCCGCATTCGAACCGCAGACCTTTTGGTCAGCAAGTTCAGCAGCTCAGCGGTTTAACCCGCTGTGCCACCTGGGGCTCAAAAATGCACACCCCTAATACCTACATCTCCCAGGTTCTATCTATAGCTTTGAGCCGTGACCATCAAAGTGGCACCAAACTGGATTAATCCTACAATGTGAATGCATTCCTGGATCCATGGGTTGCTTCTTTGCATATCGAAGGTCCAGACCTGTTGTAGTCGTACATTGACTTCCGAGGGCAGCGAAGTCTCTTTGGAGCGGCAGCATTAATCTAATAACTGGGAGTAAACCCTGATTAGCAGATTAACCAACTGAAGTCTGGTAAAACGAGAGAGAGAGGATTAGATTTCTGTGCCACACTGCAGCCGGGAAACCGGCTGGCTCTTTGCAAACCAGGAGAGACTGTTCTCTGGCTTTTATCATCAAGGCGGCTGTGTGCCTTGCATTGCAAAAATCAAAATGGGGCCTCGAGGCGATCCACATGTTGTCATGAGGAAAAACTCAGCCCGGTGACGGGAATGCATCAAGTAAATGGAGCGGATTTGCATATTTTTGTTCTTACTTGGTAGAATATATCTACCTTCTTGAGCTGGGAGGGAGGGGGACTCACGTTCTGAGCAACGGAAATTATATTCTGACAACGTTTCTTTTCTGAAATGTGTTGTGGTCTTACCAAAGGCTTTGCAATAACGACTATTTTATTTTACCTTTGAAAACTTTTTTTCTCCCCCCCCCCCCCCCCCACATTGACTTAAAATATTTGTCTGTATTTTTAATTTATTGTATACAGGCTGTTCTCGAGTTACAAACTTCCGACATACAATGTGTTCTCTCACACAGAGAGGCTTCTCTCACACAGAGAGGCTTCTCTCACACAGAGAGGCTTCTCTCACAGAGAGAGGTTTCTCTCACACAGAGAGGCTTCTCTCACACAGAGAGGCGTCTCTCACACAGAGAGGCGTCTCTCACACAGAGAGGCGTCTCTCACACAGAGAGGCTTCTCTCACACAGAGAGGCTTCTCTCACACAGAGAGGCTTCTCTCACATAGAGAGGCTTCTCTCACACAGAGAGGCGTCTCTCACACAGAGAGGCTTCTCTCACACAGAGAGGCTTCTCTCACATAGAGAGGCTTCTCTCACACAGAGAGGCGTCTCTCAAACAGAGAGGTGTCTCTCACACAGAGAAGCTTCTCTCACATAGAGAGGGTTCTGTCACACAGAGAGGCTTCTCTCCCACACAGAAGTTTCTCTCACACACAGAGGCTTCTCTCACACAGAGAGGCTTCTCTCACACAGAGAGGCTTCTCCCACACAGAGAGGCTTCTCTCACAGCTTCTCTCACACAAAGAGGCTTCTCTCACACAGAGAGGTTTCTCTCACACAAAGAGGTTTCTCTCACAGAGAGAGGCTTCTCTCACACAGAGAGGCTTCTCTCACAGAGAGAGGCTTCTCTCCCAGAGAGAGGCTTCTCTCACACAGAGAGGTTTCTCACACAGAGAGAGGCTTCTCTCACACACAGGCTTCTCTCACACAGGGAGACTTCTCTCACACAGAGAGGCGTCCCTCACACAGAGAGGCTTCTCTCTGTGAGAGAGGCTTCTCTCACACAGAGAGGCTCCTCTCACAGAGAGAGGCTTCTCTCACACACAGGCTTCTCTCACACAGAGAGGCTTCTCTCACACAGAGAGGCTTCTCTCACACAGAGAGGCTTCTCTCACACAGAGAGGCTTCTCTCACACACAGAGGCTTCTCTCACACAGAGAGGCGTCTCTCACACAGAGAGGCTTCTCTCACACTCAGACTGCGGTGTTCTTGAGCAACAGACACACCTTATATTGAACTAAATAGTTAAGAACGGGGGTGAGAGAAGTTAAGAACAAGGGTAGGATAACAGGGAGAGATATCTACCCGCAGGAAGGGAAATTTACTCCTGAAGGAGTTATCATCATGGGAGAAAGGGGGTCTCCACTGATGCTTGATCCCCAAGTCCTGTTTCCACAAGCCATTTGTTTTTTCAAAATGCAATTCTCACAGAGACAGAAACTGGGGTGAAATCTTCTGAACAGGGGCACAGGCAGCAAAGGAAACACCACAGGAGGGTTAACCTTTCCCTATGCTATCTGAAGCCCTCACTCTCTATATAGATATAGATATATAGATATACATATACATATGGCTGGAGTTACACTTTTAAAATGTGCTTGTTCCGACTTACAAACAAATTTGAAGGATTGTCAAAGGCTTTCATGGCCGGAATCACTGGGTTGTTGTAGGTTTTTCAGGCTGTATAGCCACATTCTAGAAGCATTCTCTCCTAACGTTTTGCCTGCATCTATGGCAGGCATTCCCACAGGTCTTTCATTTGCTCAGAATCAAGGAACATGAAAGGCACTGAAGACTACTTCAACCAGAGAAGTTAGCCATAGCAGAGCACCTGATGAACCAATCTGGTTACACAGCATTTTACTTGAGAACACAGAAATGCTGGACCACACCAACAACCACCATGTCAGACAACACAGAGAAGCCATTGAAATCCACAAGAAGCATGTGGACAATTTCAACAGAAAGGAGGAAACCATGAAAATGAACAAAATCTGGCTACCAGAATTAAAAAGAACTCTAAAATCAGGACAGTGAATAAAGAGGAAAACTCAGAAGACAAGGGAATTCCAGACAAGAAACAATCAGGGACAGCTAATCACCTCTCAACAAAGGATTCCCCCAGGCAATAACAAGCCACAACTAAAAACTGCCAGACCATCAAATGCTAATCAAGGTGGCCAATTGAAACATTCCCACCTCCCTCCAACAGACAAGAGTTCTTTCTCCCATCCTGGACATGATTCCACAGATATATAAACCCTATATATAGTTTCCAACAGACCTCACAACCTCTGAGGATGCTTGCCATAGATGCAGGTGAGATGTCAGGAGAGAATGCTTCTAGAACATGACCAGACAGCCCAAAAAACCTACAGCAACCCAAACAAATGCAACTTATGAACAAACATACAGAACTTATCTTGTTTGTAACTTAGAAGAGAAAGCTGAGAGGAGATATGAGGAGGACAATGTATAAATATGTGAGGGGAAGTCATAGGGAGGAGGGAGCAGACTCCATTTCTAAGCTGAAGAGCCGGCATTGTCCCTAGACACCTCCAAGGTCACATGGCCAGCATGACTGCATGGAGCGCCATATGTGTATGTATATATATATATATATATATATATATATATATATATATTTGCTGTTTTATAAATATGTGAGGGGAAGTCATAGGGAGGAGGGAGCAGACTCACTCCATTTCTAAGCTGAAGAGCCGGCGTTGTCCCTAGACACCTCCAAGGTCACATGGCCAGCATGACTGCATGGAGCGCCATATGTGTATGTATATATATATATATATATATATATATATATATATATATATTTGCTGTTTTATAAATATGTGAGGGGAAGTCATAGGGAGGAGGGAGCAGACTCACTCCATTTCTAAGCTGAAGAGCCGGCGTTGTCCCTAGACACCTCCAAGGTCACATGGCCAGCATGACTGCATGGAGCGCCATATGTGTATGATATATATATATATATATATATATATATATATATATATATATGCTGTTTTTTATAATTAAAAAAACATATTAATCAAATGTTTAGACATAGTGATCATGTCTCTTCTCAGCCTTGTTTTCTCTAGGCTAAGCAGACCCAGCTCTTTAAGCCACTCCTCATAGGTTCTACACCTTTGATCATTTTGGTTGCTGTTCTCTGGACAGCACAAGGTTTACTGAAGAACGGATAAATGACGTGAATGTTTACTGGAGCATGGATCGTATTTGCATTGTCCAGAGACGTATGCTTCGTTCCCACCTTCTGCTCTGCCCTCCTAGGTACTGCCGGAGTGATCATCTCCCTGAGCCGCATCTTCACCAAACTCCTGCTGTCGGACGAGAAGGAGAACACCATCATCTTCTTCTTCATCTCCATCAGCCTCGAGCTCACCTGCTTCATCCTCCACCTCTTGGTCAAGCGGACACAGTTTGTGAAGTATTACACGGCCCACTCCAAGGATGGCGTGCTCAAAGGGGCCGTGGACCAAGGCACTGGATACCGGGTTCACCACGATGTCACGGCAGAAGGCATCCGATTCGTACGTTGTTGGTTTTCGGGTTGCGAAAACAAGCCACCCTTGCACCAGGGGGACTGTGAAACTTTTGCAATTACATTACTTTCCTGGCTTGAAAGTGCTATTTCCCGTTTAATTGTGCGGTCCTTACTTTGAAAGTAGTTCTCTTACTCCAGAAACGTTGTTATTGTTGCATAAACTGTGTTGAATTGGTTGGGACGCTAGTATTGAAAAACTAGAGCAAAATGCAGATTGCAATTTAATAAATTATTCCCATGTTTTTATGATAGAACCAATTAGGAAATTACACTTAAAACCCAGGAACTAAAATCTTGTAACATAGTGTTATTAAAGTTGAAAGCCATGACCAAAGAAGTTGGAAAATCCATGAAGAGTTGCTAAGGATGCATCTACACTGTGGATTGAATTCAGTTTGGTCCACTCTTTAACTGCCAAGATGCAATGCTTGGCAGTGCTGGGAGTTGTAGTTTGGTGGATCCTGGGAGTTGTAGTTTGGTGAATCCTGGGAGTTGTGGTTTGGTGAATCCTGGGCATTATAATTTGGTGAATCCTGAGAGTTGTGGTTTCGTGAATCCTGGGAGTTATATTTTGGTGAATCCTGGGAGTTGTAATTTGGTGAATCCTGGGAGTTGTGGTTTGGTGAATCCTATGAGTTGTAGTAGGTGAATCTTGGGAGTTGGAGTTTGGTGAATCCTGAGAGTTGTGGCTTGGTAAATCCTGGGAGTTATAATTTGGTGAATCCTGGGAGTTGTAGTATGGTGTATCCTGAGAGTTGTAATTTGGTGAATCCTGGGAGTTATATTTTGGGGAATCCTGGGAGTTGTAGTATGGTGTATCCTGAGAGTTGTAATTTGGTGAATCCTGGGAGTTGTTGTTGGTGAATCTGGGAAGTTGTAGTTTGGTGAATCCTGGGAGTTGTGGCTTGGTGAATCCTGGGAGTTGTAGTTTGGTGAATCCTGGGAGTTGTAGTTTGTTGAATCCTGGGAGTTGTCATTTGGTGAATCCTGGGAGTTGTGGTTTGGTGAATCCAAGGAGCTGTGGCTTGGTAAATCCTTGGAGTTTTAGTTTGGTGAATCCTGGGAGTTGTGTACATCCTGGGAGTTGCGGTTTGGTGAATCCTAGGAGTTATGGCTTGGTGAATCCTGGGAGTTGTGGTTTGGTGAATCCTGGAAGTTGTGGTATGGTGAATCCTGAGAGTTATAATTTGGTGAATCCTGGGAGTTGTCGTTTGGTGAATCCAAGGAGTTGTGGGTTGGCGAATCCTGGGAGCTGTAATTTGGTGAATCCCGAGAGTTATAATTTGGTGAATCCTGGGAGTTGTAGATTGGCAAATCCTGGGAGTTGTGGTTTGGAGAATCCTGGGAGTTATGGTTTAGTGAGTCCTGAGAGTTGTAGGTTGGTGAATCCTGGGAGTTATATTTTGGTGAATCCTGGGAGTTGTGGCTTGATGAATCCTTGGAGTTTTAGTTTGGTGAATCCTGGGAGTTGTAGTAGATGAATCTTGGGAGTTGTGGTTTGGTGAATCCTGGGAGTTGCAATTTGTAATTTGGTGAATCCTGGGAGTTGTGGCTTGGTGAATCCTAGGAGTTGTAGTTTTGTGAATCCTGGGAATTGTGTTTTGGTGAATCCAGGGAGTTGTAGTTTAGTGAATCCTGGGAGTACCAGCACTCTTTGGCAGAGCAGGCTCAAGAACTGGTGAAACGACCTGGTGATTCCATAGCATTAAGCCATGGCAGCCGAAGTGGTGTTCAGTGACGTCAATCCAACAGTGTGTAGATGTACTTTAGGTTTTCTAATTTGAAGAATTTGGAGGACCATGGATGTATGTGTTTGTAGAGATCGATGCCACCCTCTCCTGGTCTGTGCGAGAAATGCAGGCCAGGATTCTTCAGAGTATAACTCCATACAAGTCTATGTCCTTATAGAAAATGAACCTTATAGGAAAACACTCGTGGAAAAAGATGTCTTCAGTGTGGAAAAAAAAAACAAATACTAAAGAAGGCAGGATACCCACTGACTTTTCAAGATACCTTGGGGAACTGGAAAGTCCCATTAACAAAGTATGGCAAGTTACATCTGGCCATCCTTTGTCAGATTGTGTGTTTGCTGCAATTCTGCAAATGAGTGCTGAATTGTGATTTGTCATTTTCCGTTTCCCTCCAAGGAGAATCGGCTGCACGGGCAAGAGTGTTCCCCTCCGGACCCCTTTGGGCAGGAAGGCGAGTTGGCCGGCAGTGGGACCTACGTGAGATTTGACGTCCCTCAGCCTAAAATCAAAAAGAGCTGGCCCGGTTTCAGAGGTGAGAACAAGAGAAGACACTCATCCAGGCATTGGTTTGTCACCTCTCCAAACTGTACCACCCAACTGTCCCAGTTTAGCATTCACAGCCTTGGTTAACCCTCTGCTATCTCACTTCCTCTGCCCCACTTTCCCTCTTGCCCCCCCCCCCCCCCGATTACTTCAGTTGCTGCAAACTAGACAGCACAGCATACTCCAAAACAGAGTACATACACCTCAGGATTTCTCTACTTAGAAAAGTCATTCTATGTGTTCATCTTCATGAATATAGTGGGTTTTTCCCTCTTGTTGTCTGGCTATTTTTGGATTACATTTGTGAAATTCTGGAGCGTCTGCAATCTTGAGAATCTTTTGTGTTTTGGCAAAAAGGTCATGCACCTGACAAATCATCTTCAGACAGTTGCTCTGAGTAAAGGAGTGAAGGGCCTCTCTCAAGAATGTGGCCTTCTGAATCATCCTGAAACAGCTCAGGTCTCTCTTCTGAATTTAACTCAGGCCCAAGCAAACCCTCATCCCCAGGCCCATCATTAGAAACATCGTCCCCATTCCTATCATGAACATCAGCATAAACATCATGCACCTGATAAATCGTCTTCAGACTGAGTAAAGCAGTGAAGGGCCTCTCTCAAGAATGTGGCCTTCTGAATCATCCTGAAACAGCTCAGATCTCTCTTCTGGACTTAACTCAGGCCCAAGCAAACCCTCATCCTCAGACCCATCATTAAAAACATCATCCCCATTCCTATCATGAACATCGACATGAACATCATGCACCTGACAAATCGTCTTCAGACTGAGTAAAGCAGTGAAGGGCCTCTCTCAAGAATGTGGCCTTCTGAATCACCCTGAAACAGRTCAGGTCTCTCTTCTGAACTTAACTCAGGCCCAAGCAAACCCTCATCCCCAAGCTCATCATTAGAAACATCATCCCCATTCCTATCATGAACATCAACATGACAAATCATCTTCAGACTGAGTAAGGCAGTGAAGGGCCTCTCTCAAGAATGTGGCCTTATGAATCATCCGGAAACAGCTCAGATCTCTCTTCTAGACTTAACTCAGGCCCAAGCAAACCCTCATCCTCAGACCCATCGTTAGAAACATCATCCCRTTTCCTATCATGAACATCCACATGAGCATCATGCACCTGACAAATCGTCTTCAGACAGTTGTTCTGAGTAAAGCAGCGAAGGACCTCTCTCAAGAATGTGGCCTTCTGAATCACCCTGGAACAGCTCAGGTCTCCCTTCTGAACTTAACTCAGGCCCAAGCAACCCCTCATCCCCAGGCCCCTCATTAGAAACATCATCCCCATTCCTATCATGAACCTCAACATGAACATCATGCACCTGACAAATCGTCTTCAGACTGAGTAAAGCAGTGAAGGGCCTCCCTCAAGAATGTGGCCTTCTGAATCATTCTGAAAGGGCTCAGGTCTCTCTTCTAAACTTAACTCAGGTCCAAGTGAACCCTCATCCCCAGGCCCATCAGTAGAAACATCATCCCCATTCCTATCATGAACATCAACATGACAAATCATCTTCAGACTGAGTAAGGCAGTGAAGGGCCTCTCTCAAGAATGTGGCCTTATGAATCATCCGGAAACAGCTCAGATCTCTCTTCTAGACTTAACTCAGGCCCAAGCAAACCCTCATCCTCAGACCCATCGTTAGAAACATCATCCCTTTTCCTATCATGAACATCCACATGAGCATCATGCACCTGACAAATCGTCTTCAGACAGTTGTTCTGAGTAAAGCAGCGAAGGACCTCTCTCAAGAATGTGGCCTTCTGAATCACCCTGGAACAGCTCAGGTCTCCCTTCTGAACTTAACTCAGGCCCAAGCAAACCCTCATCCCCAGGCCCATAATCAAAAACATCATACACCTGCCAAATCATCTTCAGACAGTTGTTCTGTGTAAAGCAGCGAAGGGCCTCTCTCAAGAATGTGGCCTTGTGAATCATCCTGAAACAGCTCAGGTCTCTCTTCCAAACTTAACTCAGGCCCAAGCAAACCCTCATCCCCAGGTCCTTCATTAGAAACATCATCCTCATTCCTATCATGAACATCAACATGAACATCATGCACCTGACAAATCATCTTCAGACAGTTGTTCTGAGTAAAGCAGCAAAGGGCCTCTCTCAAGAATGTGGCCTTGTGAATAACCCTGAAACAGTTCAGGTCTCTCTTCTGAACTTAACTCAGGCCCAAGCAACCCCTCATCCCCAGGCCCCTCATTAGAAACATCATCCCCATTCCTATCATGAACCTCAACATGAACATCATGCACCTGACAAATCGTCTTCAGACTGAGTAAAGCAGTGAAGTGCCTCTCTCAAGAATGTGGCCTTCTGAATCATCCTGAAAAAGCTCAGGTCTCTCTTCTAAATTTAACTCAGGCCCAAGTAAACCTTCATCCCCAGGCCCATCATCAAAACATCATCCCCATTCCTATCATGAACATCAACATTAACATCATACACCTGACAAATCATCTTCAAACAGTTGTTCTGAGTAAAGCAGCAAAGGGCCTCTCTCAAGAATGTGGCCTTGTGAATCATCCTGAAACAGCTCAGGTCTCTCTTCCAAACTTAACTCAGGCCCAAGCAAACCCTCATCCCCAGGCCCTTCATTAGAAACATCATCCTCATTCCTATCATGAACATCAACATGAACATCATGCACCTGACAAATCATCTTCAGATAGTTGTTCTGAGTAAAGCAGCAAAGGGCCTCTCTCAAGAATGTGGCCTTGTGAATAACCCTGAAACAGCTCAAGCCTCTCTTCTGAACTTAACTCAGGCCCAAGCACACATCCCCAGGCCCATCATCAGAAACCTCATCCCTATTTCTATTTTGAACATCAACAGGAACATCATGAACATCAGCATGAACATCAGACACAATCACAGGCCAACGGAGAAGGACAAGTTTCCATCCCTCATCCTCAGGCCCATCATTAGAAATATCATCCCCATTCCTATCATGAACATCAATATGAACATCGTGCACCTGACAAATCATCTTCACACAGTTGCTCTGAGTAAAGCAGCAAAGGGCCTCTCTCAAGAATGTGGCCTTATGAATCACCCTGAAACAGCTCAGGTCTCTCTTCTGAATTTAACTCAGGCCCAAGCAAACCCTCATCCCCAAGCCCATCATTAGAAACATCATCCCCATTCCTATCATGAACATCAACATGAAAATCATGCACCTGACAAATCATCTTCAGACAGTTGTTCTGAGTAAAGCAGCAAAGGACCTCTCTCAAGAATGTGGCCTTGTGAATCACCCTGAAACAGCTCAGGTCTCCCTTCTGAACTTAACTCAGATCCGAGCAAACCCTCATCCCCAGGCCCTTCATTAAAAGCATCATCCCCATTCCTATCATGAACATCAACATGACAAATCATCTTCAGATGATTTAAGCAGTGAAGGGCCTCTCTCAAGAATGTAGCCTTCTGATTCACCCTGAAACAGCTCAGGTCTCTCTTCTGAACTTAACTCAGGCCCAAGCCAACCCTCATCCCCAGGCCCATCATTAGAAACATCATCCCCATTCCTATCATGAACATCAACATGAACATCATGCACTTGACAAATCGTCTTCAGAATGAGTAAAGCAGTGAAGGGCTTCTCTCAAGAATGTGGCCTTCTGAATCATTCTGAAACAGCTCAGGTCTCTTTTCTAAACTTAACTCAAGCCCAAGTAAACCCTCATATCCAGGCCCATCATTAGAAACATCATCCCCTTTCCTATAATTAACATCAACATGAACATCATGCACCTGACAAATCATCTTCAGACAGTTGCTCTGAGTAAAGCAGCAAAGGGCCTTTCTCAAGAATGTGGCCTTGTGAATCATCCTGAGACAGGTCAGGCCTCTCTTCTGAACTTAACTCAGGCCCAAGTAAACATCCCCAGGCCCATCATCAGAAACATCATCCCTATTCCTATCATGAACATCAACATGAACATCATGCCCATCATGAACATCAACATGAACATCAGACACAATCACAGGCCAACGGATCCCAATCATCCCCTTTCCTAAAATGAACATCAATATGATGATGGGCCTTGAGATGTATGCTTGGGCCTGAGTTAAGTTCAGAAGAGAGGCGTGAGCTGTTTCAGGATGATTCACAAGGCCACATTCTTGAGAGAGACCCTTCACCTCTTTACTCAGAACAACTGTCAGAAGATGATTTGTCTGGTTCAGAAGTTAATGAGGGAGAAGATAACGAAAGCCTGGACAGAAAGCAGAGTTTAAGTAAACAGAGGCAAAGTCTTCAGAGGCTGAGATGTCTCAGAAGAGAGACAACAAACCATTATCTGGTGGGAAGGTCAAGAAAAATGCTTTCAGTTTTAGGATCTGTAAAAGCTTTATAATGATTCATGGAACAGAGTTGCCTTAGTTGGGTCAACATTGTTATTTTATCACGGATTTGCTTTTAGGTGCTCTGAGTTTCATGTACCAAGTTTTTGCCTAGCTCAAGATTTGAGTATGAGATTTTCCTACTGTCTTGTTCCATGGATTCAAGTGCCTAGTTTCATGGATTTTTATGTACTCAACGATCTTGTTTTCCTCTGAAGCTGATAGACTATTTACTCTTACTGGTTTTGCTAATTTTTTTTACTGTTTTGCTTATATATAATCTTCAATAAACTGCTTGGTGATTTTACCAAGCTGGTGTGGTATTTAACGTCAGAGGTGTTCCTTCTCTGCAGTACAACATTCCCATTGTTGAGTGAATTATGTGCAAACTATCATTACCCTTTGGACAACTGAAGTAAGCTGAGGACAAAGAGAGAAAATGTCAGAAGGAGCGGACAAAGGGGACGTCTTAAAAGCAGCTGAAAAAGTGGGATGAAATGCCAAATCGGAATATGTTAGTGTCCACACTGGTCACTTTGATCTCAACCTTTTGCCTGTGAATGGTTCTGAACTTGAATTTGGCTCTCAGCTTTTTAAAAATACCTTCTTCCTTTGATTCCGTCCTCGAACAGATATGATGCTCCACCGCTATATCGTCTCTCGGGTGATCTGGGCGTACATGCTCTCCATCGCGATGACGTACTTCATCACCCTCTGCCTCTTTCCGGGACTGGAATCGGAAATCCGGAACTGCACCCTCGGGGAGTGGCTCCCCATCCTTATCATGGCCATCTTCAACCTCTCCGACTTCGTGGGCAAGGTAGGGACCCAAACATCTCCAGGTTGCCCCAGTGAGGAAAGGCTGTCTTTTTTGTTATCAAAAAGAGGGGGTTCAGGGGTCGCCAAATTGAACAATGTTGGGAATTTATGTACCTTGGAATCCATTCTATGGAAAAACTATCCTATAGAACACACTAGAACCCTGGTGGCACAGCAGGAAAGAAGATTCCACTTGATCTTCTTAGAGCTGTTCAGCAGTGGAACTCTCTGCCTCAGAGTCTGAAGGAGGCTCCTTCATTGGGGGATTTTAAACAGAGACTGGATGGCCATCTGTCAGGGATACTTTGATGGTGCTTTTCCTGCATGGCAGGGGGTTGGACTAGATGGCCCACGTGGTCTCTTTCAGTTCTAAGATGCTACGATCCTGTCTCTTGCGTTTTTAGATCTTGGCAGCCTTGCCGTACGACTGGAAAGGCACGCACCTGCTCATCTACTCCTGCCTGAGGGTGGTCTTCATCCCGCTGTTCATCATGTGCGTCTACCCCAACGGGAAGCCCTCCTTTAGCCACCCGGCCTGGCCCTGCATCTTCTCCCTCCTCATGGGAATCACCAACGGATACTTCGGCAGCGTCCCCATGATCCTGGCAGCTGGAAAAGTCACCCCCGAACAGCGGGAACTGGCAGGTAGGCAGAGCAATATGGGAATGTTTTTTTTCCCCACGTCAAACCAAAAAAATGTGCTAAATTTTCACTACCTTTTTGTTATGTAATTGCACAAGAGAAGGGGAGCTTCCAGGGTGCCTTTCTCCCTCATTTCTAGAGCCATCGGGATGAAACTTGCAACAAGGGTACAACACATTTACCACTGTTACTCCTCCAAGTTTCAAAATGTTTAAGTCATCCAACTTACCTGTCCGAACATATCTCTCCTTACAAATTATCAAGGACTCTAAGATCGTCTGGGGAGGCCCTGCTCTCGGTCCCACCTTTGTCACAAGTACATTTGGTGGGGACGAGAGACGGCCTTCTCAGTGGTGGCCCCTCGGCTATGGAACACCTTCCCTAGGGAGATTAGGTCTGCTCCCTCCCCGAACAGCGGGAACTGGCAGGTAGGCAGAATTATGGCAATGTTAATTTTCCCACGTCAAACAAAAAAAAAAGTGCTAAATTTTCACTACTTTTTCGTTATGTAATTGCACAAGGGAAGGGGAGCTTCCAGGGCTCCTTTCTCGCTCATTTCTAGAGCCATCGGGATGAAACTTGCAACAAGGGTACAACACATTTACCACTGTTACTCCTCCAAGTTTCAGAATGTTTAAGTCATCCAACTTACCTGTCCGAACATATCTCCCCTTACGAACCATCAAGGACTCTAAGATCGTCTGGCGAGGCCCTGCTCTTGGTCCCGCCTTCATCTCAAGTATGAGACAGGGCCTTCTCAGTGGTGGCCCCTCAGCTATGGAACACCCTCCCTAAGGAGATTAGATCTGCTCCCTTCCTCTCAAGTTAAAACATGGCTGTTGGAGCAAGCGTTTACAAATGCAGAGTAGCTAATATAGGAAATCGAACGATTTGGCGATGGAACTGGACAATGCTTGGTAATAATGAGATGCTAATGATGTTGTTTTTATTGCTTTTATGGTGTTTTATTGTTTTATGCTTTACGCGTAAGTAGGTCACGCAGAACAGCTGCCCTTGGCTGGCTCACGCTGCCCATCAGGCCTGACGGATAGCGTGAGCCAGCCAAGGGAGGGGCACTGTGTGTGGGGGTGGGGGCGCTCCTCCTCCGCGGGCCGGATAAGTGCCCTTGGCAGGCCGGAAGTGGCCCGCGGTCCGTAGTTTGAGGCCCCCTGATATAGATGATGATGGTGATTATTATTATTATTATACAGCCCATATAACGCGACAACAACTCAGTGATGCCAGCCCTGAAAGCCTTTGATGACACTATGCATGCTCTGTCTCATTCCCTGTCTTCCCAGGTAACACCATGACGGTGTCTTACATGACGGGGCTGACCCTGGGCTCGGCCGTGGCCTACTTCGCCTACAGCCTCACCAGTATGTCCCACAGTACCTGCTTCCACACGGAAACCTACAACGGCTCCATCACCGCAGGATACTGAGCTGCGTCCAGGCAAGTTGGGGAGAGATGGCCGGTGGGAGGAAGATCGGAGCGGACCTCGCGACGTTGCCTTTCCCTAGGAGCACATCCACTCCACTTGGACTTTGGTGCAAAATAGCCAAACGATGCTCTCACCCTCACACCCAGCCACCGGTTTCACGTGGAGGAGCAACCCATGGGGATGGAGGCTCTCCGCAAGGCTCTCGAATGCTTCCCATTCATTTCAGCGGCATTTTGCATGGGATCATGTTCCCATGGCAGTTTCTCCCACGTGGCTGTTGTTAATGGCATCCAGGTGCACTGTGCTGCCGGTAGCAATCTTCTTCCTTTCCTTGGGATAGCAGAGCTACCTTGTGTGTCCTCCATGTTGCTTGGTTTTCAAAAAAATGGGAGAAAAGATACCCAAATGCTCTTTCACACACACTACTTGCCTTGACCCATTCCTGCGCAAGAGTATTTGGAGAGTAGATGCAAAACAAGGCAGGATGTAGACCGGCGGAGTCGGAGTCGCTTGGAAAAGTGTCCAAATAAGAAAATGTCCGGCCCAGAAACTTGCCTCCAAACAAGGAAGTCCAGATGAGATTATTCCAAGGTGTATTTGACAAAAGAGAGTAAGGCCACAGCTGGGAAAAGGGAACTTCTCTGGCCAACTCCCTTGGAGATTCTGGGAATTGTCCTGAAAAGTAAGCGGCAAGAGGTCCACTCCCAACGTCTTCTCCATACAGCGTCCTTCCCCTGAAGCTAGTCCGACTCTGTTGGTTTTCTCATTTCTGTGCCAAGTTCCTGTAAATCAAAGGGATGCACCTAATTACGGGTTGTTGTAGGTTTTTCGGGCTATAGGGCCATGTTCTAGAAGCATTCTCTCCTGACATTTCGCCTTCATCTATGGCAAGCACCTAATTATGCATTAATGGAGGAGAGCAAAAGCTGATTGCTTAATATAACTTCTACATCTTAAAGGATATGGTTGAGAATCTCTTAATTATGATTTCCACTGCTTTAGATTTCCAAGTGAGAGGGCTGCAAGGGAGATACATATTGGGTTGTTGTAGGTTTTTCCGGGCTATATGGCCATGTTCTGGAGGCAGTTTTTCTCCTGACGTTTCGCCTGCATCTATGGCAAGCATCCTCAGAGGTTGTGAGGTCTGTTGGAAGTAGGAAAAATGGGTTTATATATCTGTGGAATGACCAGGGTGGGACAAAGGACTTTTGTCTGCTGGGGCTAGATGTGAATGTTTCAGCTGATCACCTTGATTAGCATTCAATGGCTTGGAAGTCCCTGGGGGGAATCTTTTGTTGAGAGTGATTCACAGCTAGCCCCAGCAGACAAAAGTACTTTCTTACCCTGGAACTAGGAAAATGGGTTTATATATCTGTGGAATGACCAGGGTGGGACAAAGTGTCCTTTCCAGTATTTATGAGACTGATGCCAGACTCAGTGATCTTGTCGCTTTGCGAGTTTACATTTATAGCTCTTCATGACCAAATGTGATCCCAAAGTCAACTTCTTAAGCCAAGCACTAGCCCAACGGAAGTGTTCCCAAGGTTGCTGTGAGTGTTCTGGGATGTCTGGCCATGTTCCAGAAGCATTCTCTCCTGATGTTTCACCCACATCTCGGGTAGGGCAGGCATCCATTGCATGGCCCTTATTGGTTTCCATTGGGACCCCCAAGGACTGCCTTCAAACCTTCAAACCCAAACATATATCTTGATACATATTTATTTCTCAAATTCTTTGCATCCCAAAAAATAAAGGCTGCGAATTTTCCAGGCTGTCTGGCCATATTCCAGAAGCATTCTCTCCTGACATTTCATCCACATCTTCAGAGGTTGTGAGGTCTGTTGGAAACTAGGTTTCATTCCCATACTCAGAAACAACATCTTGCTCCAAAGTCCCCTCCATCTGGGCACCCACAGAACCATCAGGCCCTGCACCCCCTAACACCTCATTGTCATCATCTGGCTGAACTACAACACCACCCTGGACACTCCACAGGTATAGAAACCCCACTTGCCTAGCTTCCAACAGACCTCACAACCTCTGAYACRGCCTGCRYTAGATGCAGARGAAACATCAGAAYAGAATGCTTGCAAATTTCTTCCCCCGCAGAAGCAGCCTGGTATCTCTGTCTAATCCAGCTGCTTCATGTTATCCTCCCTTCCCTGCCTGTCGGCTTCCAAAGAGGTTTCGTTCCCACACTCAGAAACAACATATTACTCCAAACTCCTCTCCGTCTGGGCACCCACAGAACCATCAYGCCTTGCACCCRCAAACCCCTCATTGTCATCAGCTGGCTGAACTACAACGCCACCCTGGCCATTCCACAGATATATAAACCCCACTTGCCTAGTTTCCAACAGACCTCACAACCTCTGAGACTGCCTGCCYTAGATGCAGACGAAACATCAGATGAGAATGCTTCCAAATTTCTTTCCCCGCCTCGTATCTCTGTCTAATCCAGCTGCTTCTTCGGATGAGCTCATGTTATCCTCCCTTCCCTGCCTGTCAGCTTCCAAAGAGGTTTCATTCCCACACTCAGAAACTGTCGCACCTCAGAGTAGATTCACCTTGCTGAAATCACCAAAACTGCACACAGACTGAAGTCTGAAGACCTCACACACTCTGAGACTGCCTGCCATAGATGCAGACGAAACATCAGATGAGAATGCTTCTGGAACATGTCCAGACAGCCTGAAAAACTTACAACAACCCAGTAACTCCAGCCATGAAAGCCTTCGACCACACAGTGTTCCCAAAGCTTAGCAGATCACCAGGAAATAGTGGCTCCTAGCCATGGATTTCTCCAGTTGCCTGCCTCTATCTATCCCACAAGTGGAAGAATTTACCTGGTGTGATTTCCTATTTTCTTGGAACCCTTCCATTGGGATGCCAACCTGGCTTAAGATGTAGGCTTGAAGGCATCAGAAGTAGCAACAAAGAGAGAACTCCGTCTCATTGGAGGCGTGTGTGCCAATACAGATTGTGGCCTTGGATTTTATTGGATGCTCCCTAGTTGTTTCTTCCCCTTGTGTTTTCCTGTGTCTAGCTTATTGCTGGGGACCTCGGCCAGGGTGAGAGAAAGGGTGTATTCCACCCTTCTCCTATCAGTTGCTTCTTATCACATTTCTTACCAAACATCACAATGGAAAAGTGTTAAGATTCTCACTAGTGGCAGGAGACGTGGAGGAAGGACAATAGTGACACCCCACTTCTATGTCTTTGCAACTCTTTGGCTCCCAGATCCCCATCCTCTTGTTTTCTCCCAGTTGTCTGGTTTCGTTTCTCTCTCTGAGAGGATCACTTTGCTTCTTCAGCCTCTGTGCAGCCAGTCACCGCATTGCCTTTGCTAACCGGCTTCATGTGCCATACGGCCCACCCGACATGGTGGGACCGGCCCTTGTGCCAACTCATGCTGCATGCCCAGCTCCGTTTCTCATTTCGACGTGGCCGATCCACCCTCACTCCCACCCACAGCAGACCCTGGTTGCAGGCTGGGCCAAGAATGAAGAGAGGGCCAAGTCTTTGCCTCCGTCTCTCCGTTGTGGAGTCTTCTGTGTACGCCCACACTTGTGTGGTTGCTGATCAATAAAGTTCTTCAGATGGATTTTTCTCTCTCTCAAAATCGTTTGGCTCCATGTTTCTTCTCTTTGAGTTTTATTTATCATATCGGGAGTGAACCAAGAGTACAGTTGTAATGTAGTTTTAAAAACACAACGTTTAGAAACTTGGCATTATATTAAATTTCCTGGCCACTTGGAGTGCCTCTGGTGTTGCCATAAGGAGGTCCTCCTTTGTGCATGTGGCAGGGCTCAGGTTGCATTGTGATAAGTGGTCTGTGGTTTGCTCTTCTCTGTGATACTTTCAGGAACATCTCAGCAAGCAAGAGTCCAAAAGTGGCAGGCTAAAACCCGGAACTTTAATCCATAGCTGACACGTTGAAAAGTATTAGCCTCTAATGAAAGAACCAAAGTATTGACATCTCCAGCCAGGCCCGTAGCCAGGATTTTGATTCGGGGGGAGCTGAGTTTGATTGGAGGGGGCTGAGGATCTACCCTAGCAAACCTTTTGTATCGTTACCCCAATACCCCCATGCATATGGGATATATTGAGCATGGTGATCAGATCATGATATGAATAAACATAGCAGTTGAAATAATGTACCAGTAAGGCCTTCTCGCGGACCACCATGAGAATTTCGGGGGGGGGGCTGAAGCCCCCCAAGCGCCCCCCCCAGCTACATGCCTGTCTCTCATACACCGTCTCTCTCTCTGTCTTCCTTTCTTACTTTGTTTTATCTCGTTTGCCTAAGACGATAGATATGTTCTGCTAGGAGCATCCGCGCGTCAGCAGCAAGAGTGCCCTAGTACACTGGAGAAACTGCTAGCCGGTAGCACCACCTGACATCTGCTGGGAAGTAGCAGCCAATAGTGAAAGGACCAAGGCAGTGACATCTCCAGCCCATCCCTTGTTTGGGTATCAGCCAGCACGTCAACGACTTAAATCAAGAAATAGTTTCCTAAGATCTACAGAGATACTTGCAGGAACACTGCAGCAAGCGAGAGTCCAAAAGTGGCAGGCTAAAACCCAGAACCTCAATCAATGGCTGATACCAAATGAGAGACTCCCTCCTGGGCACACGGAAGACTGGGTGACTTGGAGAGCATTGAACAGACTGTGCTCTGGCACCACGAGATGCAGAGTCAACCTTCAGAAATCTCTTTTGAGTAGGGAAGTGAGATACTCAAGCGCATATAGGACAGGCCTGTCCAACATCCAGCCCAATTGTGGCTACTGTTCAAATTTCCGCTGGCCCTTTCTACAGGCCTCCCTCCCTTGCTTATTTCCTTCCTAAGGGAGATGTTGCCTCTAAGCTGTAATGTGTCCAGCGGAGGGTGACGAAATGATCAAGGGTCTGGAGAACAAGCCCTTTGAGGAGTGGCTTAAAGAGCTGGGCATGTTTAGCTTGCAGAAGAGAAGGCTGAGAGGAGACATGATGATGGCCATGTATAAATATATGAGAGGAAGCCATAGAGAGGAGAGAGCAAACTTGTTTTCTGCTGACCTGGAGACTAGGACACATTGGAGTCATGACTTCAAACTACAAGAAAGGAGATTCCACTTGAACATTATGAAGAACTGCGAGAGAGACAGAGCTGTTCAGCAGTGGAACTCTCTGCCCAGGAGTGTGGTGGAGGCTCTTTCTTTGGAGGCTTTTAAGCAGACGCTGGATGGCCATCTGTCAGGGGTGCTTTGAATGCAATTTTCCTGGTTCTTGGCAGAATGGAGTTGGACTGGATGGCCCATGAGGTCTCTTCCAATTCTTTGAGTCTATGATTCTATGACATGATGATGGCCATGTATAAATATGTGAGTGGAAGCCATAGAGAGGAGAGAGCAAACTTGTTTTCTGCTGCCCTGGAGACTAGGACGCATTGGATTCATGGCTTCAAACTACTGGAAAGGAGATTCCACCTGAACATTAGGAAGAACTGTGAGAGAGCTGTTCAGCAGTGGAATTCTCTGCCCAGGAGTGTGATGGAGGCTCCTTCTTCAGAGGCTTTGAAACAGAGGCTGGATGGCCATCTGTCAGGGGTGCTCTGAATGTGATTTTCCTCTTTCTTGGCACAATGGGGTTGGACTGGATGGCCCACCAGGTCTCTTCCAACTTTTGGATTCTATGATTCTAAGAGTTTTTGCTGTGATTCCGAATGTCCCAAGAGATTTGCAAAATGGCTCAAACTCAAAACTTGGAAACATTTAAAAGCCTAGTGTTAGTGTTACTGTCTAATATTTTTTGAAAGTAACACAACGTATTACATACTGACATCTTACTTGAATATTAAGTTGCAAACATTGCAAAAATTGCAAACACCCCACTCTATTCATGTATTAATAAAACGACAAGTAACAGTACTTGTTACTCCATAGCCATCATAAGAAATGTGGATGACTCGCTGTAATCCACGATTGCAGACAGAGAAAAATGTAATGCCACCAGATGGCAATGTTGCAAGGGTCGAACATTCTGGCAGAGAGAGAGAAAAAACACCTAAAATCCATCCGCAAAGTGCTTGCACCATAATGTAAGAGGAGATGGCCCAAAAGATGGACACGGAGGTCTCACCGTGTTGGCAAGTTGTTGTTGTTATGTTTATTTATACCCCTCCTACCTCTCCACAAAAGTCAACATAGACACTGAAATGCAACACCGCCTGAGCTCTGCGAGTGCAGCATTCTTCCGAATGAAGCAGAGAGTGTTTGAGGACCAGGACATCCGTAGGGAGACCAAGGTACTTGTTTATAAAGCTATTGTCCTCCCAACCCTGCTATATGCCTGCGAGACGTGGACAGTCTACAGACGTCAACATTGACACTGAAATACAACACCAGCTG